CACTGGTCGTCTTCTGCATTTGTTGTTACATTTGCGATAGAAGAGCCAGATCATCTGCGAAGTCTAGATCATCCAACTACATCCTAGCTATCCACTGTATCCCGTGCTTCCCTTCAGATGTTGACGTCTTCATGATCCAGTCGATCACCAGGAGAAAAAGAAAGGGCGAGAGTAAGCAACCTTGCCTGACACCGGTCTTTACTTCGAACGACTTTGTCAACTGTCCTCCATGAACGATCATAGGAATTCCGTATGATATTGACTATCTTCTTAGGCACGCCGTAGTGTCGAAGAAGCTTCCATAGTGTTGTTCTGTCCACGCTATCAAATGCTTTTTCGTAGTCAATGAAGTTGATATAGAGTGATGAATTCCATTCAATTGATTGTTCCACAATGATCCGTAGAGTTGAGATTTGGTCTGTACACGATCTATCCTTACGGAATCCTGCCAGTTGTTCTCGAAGTTGGGCGTCTACGGAGTTTTTCATTCTGTTTAACAAAACCCTGTTGAAGACTTTTCCTGGTATTGAGAGAAGAGAGGGGCCTCTTTATTTATCACACCTGGTGAGATCGCCTTTCTTTGGTATCTTGATCAGGAGTCCTTCTTTCCAGTCTGTTGGTACTTTTTCGTCATCTCAAATCATGCTGAAGAGAATGTGGAGTATTCTTACATTTACTGTTACATCTGCTTTCAGTACTTCTGCTGGAATGTTGTCTGGTCCTGCTGCTTTGCCAGTCTTGATTTGTCTGATAGCCATGCTGATTTCTTCAATTGTCGGTGGGCCAACATCAATTGGGGGATCCATGAGTGCTGCTTCAATATTGGGTGGGTTCAGTGGGGCTTGTCTATTCAAGAGTTCTTTGAAGTGTTCTACCCACCTTTTTCATTGTTCTTCAATGTTGTTGATTACCTTTCCTTCCTTGCTTTTCACTGGTCGTTCTGGTTTACGGTGATTTCCAGAGAGTTTCTTTGTTGTGTCATACAGTTGTCTCATGTTTCCTTCTCTCGCAGCCTTTTCCGCCGTCAATGCCAAATCTTCCACATATTTACGTTTGTCAGTTCTGATGCTCCTCTTCACTTGCTTGTTTAGTTCTGTGTATTCAGCCTGTGCCTTGACTTTTTCTGCTCTTGTTCGACTGGTATTGATTGCTGTCTTCTTGTTCCTCCTTTCTTGAATCTTATCCAGTGTATCGATCGTGATCCAATCCTTGTGATAGTGCTTCTTTTGACCCAGAACCTCATGACATGTTGAAGGAATTGCTTCTTTTATCTCTTTCCAGTTGCTCTCCATAGTAGTTCATTATCCATTGAGTAGATCATGAAAGGACTGGAACTTATTGCTGAGGGATATCTTGCATTCGTTGAGCTTGTCAGTATCCCGAAGAAAAGCCGTATTAAACTTTTGTGATATTGTCCGCCCCGTTGTTCAGTGCTTCTTGAGTTTCAATGTCATCTTGGCGACCAGCAAGTGATGATCTGATGCTATATTAGCTCCTCTCTTGGTTTTCACGTCCTCCATCGTCCTACTGAACCTTTTGTTGATGCAGATATGGTCGATTTGGTTTTGCGTAGTGTGATCCAGTGAAGTCCATGTGGTTTTGTGGATGCGTTTATGTGGGAGTATAGCGCCGCCTATGACCAGTTTGTTGAAGGCACAAAGGTTTGCAAATCTCTCACCATTTTCGTTCCTTTCTCCCAGTCCGTGTCGTCCCATGATCTCTTCAGATACAGTGTTGTCAGTTCCAACCTTAGCATTTAAATCTCCCATCAGAATGGTCAGGTCCTTTGCTGGGCACTTCTCGACGATTGACTGCAGCCTATCGTAGAATTGATCTTTAGCGTCTTCACTGTAGTCGTTGGTAGGCGCGTAGCATTGGATGACGTTCACTGTAATGCCCTCTTTCTTTGTTTTGAAGGAGGCCTTGATGATCCTTGGTCCATGAGATTCCCATCCTACAAGTGCATTTTGTGCTTGTTTGGACAGCATCAGTGCCACTCCTTGTGTACGTGAGGCATTTTCTTCTTCATGTCCGAAGTATAACAGCAGCTCCCCTGAAGCTAGTCGTTTTTGTCCAACTTGCGTCCAATGTGTTTCACTGATCCCAAGCACCTCTAAATTGTATCTCCTCATTTCTGCAGCAATTTGGAAGACTCTCCCAGTCTTCCACATTGTACGAGCATTCCATGCACCTGAATAAATGGTTGCTCTGGTTGTCAGAAGGGGCATCGGCCTCGTGACTTCCGAAGGAACTCGGCTTTCATCATGAGGCGTCATAATTCTTCTAAACGAAGACCCCCTGACTCTGAGGGCAGAGTTTAAATGGTTTGAATAATTTTTTCTGGTTAGCGTTTTTTTAGCGAGTTAGTTTTCTATGGGATGGGGTCTCTAACCCCATGCCCAACCCCTCTCCTTTATCCGGGCTTGGGACCGGCAGTAGCCTCCGGAGGGACTCCAGGCGGAGTAAGTCGACATACCATGGAAGAACTGTCCTACCAATTGGAATAATAAAAATAGACTGGTATGTAAAATATCTCGTAAGTCAGTATGATGATTTTAAAATCTTTCGGATTCCTCATAAAGCCAACATTACTCGATTCGATGCCAAATGAAAGGTATAATAATGAAGACAAACAAACGCAATAACACCTGTAAAATAGTTCATTTGTGTATTGGTTGTTTAAATCTTCCGCATCCTATGCGGATTACTTCAATATTGAGCCCTGGATTCCACTTTTAGCTACCAACCACCTACAAGATACGTTCCACTACTTGTAGTGAACAACATATTAGAAACGTGTCCGCCTTACCAACGCTTACATGGGTTTCGAGTAATAATGAAGTTATGCCACTAACCAATAAATCAACGCACATATACAATATTGTGGAATGAGATTTTAAAAACATCAACGAACTTCTACAAGTGCGACACTCAAGTCAGTTTTCGATCAATGGACATCGAAATAGATCTATTTAACCCGTATGATAAGCGTCAAGGAATTATATGGTTAGAGGATAATCTAAGACAAAGTGGAAATACAATAACAAGTGAAGGTAACAACCTAAGACGACAATCACTTCACATAAGATCACTAGAACAGAGTGACGATCGCATCTGGAATAAAAAGAAAGCTCGCTTCTAAATGAAACAAGTATGGTGATAGAACGGGGTGGATTATAATACAATACTGGGAGCGGATAGACAATAGGAACATATGAAACAACTACGACTGCTACCCTCCCCCACCAGAACTTTGTACCTTAATGAATCTTATGAATAAAAACTTGGCTTTCAAGATTAATACGTAGGAAATATAGTATTGTATCTACACCTACAACGCCTAACGTTTTAACCCAAACAAGTATTTCAATGGACCAATAATAACTGCCAAAATACGTTGGCTTCTGGAATATTTATTTGCTGTTTAAATTCCATCTAATATCGAACTAAGTAAAACAGAATGTACGCAAAACTCCGCAGGCTACAAAGGTCAAGGCTAGTAGCATGGGCAGATAGAAATGCGCTTTTCTTTAATGTGTGAAGGGTTTTGATTGAACAAACATTTTTTCTGAACAAATAAAACTGTACATAAAGAGGCACAAACAAACATGTAAATAGCTCACAACAAACAGAAAGAATTAAAAAATGAATGGCGTTTGGGTAGATTTAAACTGACTCACTACCAGAGTAATTCTGTAAATCTACCTTGAAACCAGAAATCGGGTCATCTGACCATATGGTTAGGGTTAAAGATTCACATGGAAATTCCACATGAATCTCAAGACCTCAAGAAAAGGAAAACAGAAAAAATGATGAAAAGTTCCGACAAACACCTTCAGTAATCCCAAAGATATATTCGCCAAAATTGGATGATATGATGGAAAGGAATGACCTCAGCTGTTTTTAATAATGTTTTTAAGCATGACAATATCTTCACAACATAATTTAACAAGAACCAGTATCTTTTAGAAAGTTGACTGTTTATAAAAGACACAAAGAGAGGTAGTCACTGGTTACTAATTGTAAAAGTCATTCGTTTGTTCTTCAAAGGAAATCGTGAGCGGTGGAGCATACGAATAATTACAATCACTTTGATAGACTTGGATATATTACCAAATTCAAAGTCCTAAAAAAACAGTTCAAGTAGAGTGATAGTATATCTACTACTTTTTACAGTCCCAAACTAGTAGTCAGGCTTGCCCAAGGTACACTTTTCATCTTTCTGGAAAATATTTGAAGTACGTAATGGCGATGAAGATCTACTAATTGAAGTGCCTAAGCTTCAGTATATAGAAGACATCCTCTGGTATTGGGTAGTATCACACAGGGATTTAGTTACCAGCCGCCATTAGTAAGTAGTGTGCTCCGAGTGTTATAGAAATGAAGAGAACCGCATGAATAACTAAACTCGATTATCACTGGTTTTGGAAAGCCGCCACTAATTTGTGATAATGGTGTCCATGAAAATACTGGAATGAACAACGTGTTTGAGGATAGTGAAAAGCAGTATATTAAAGGTTATCATCTTAAGAAACTAAATTTAATGACTTGAAAAAGTATTACGCATGAAGTTAAGGTCGCTTCCGCAGTGAGAACCGATTTCCGCTAATAAGACTGGGTGGTAAAAGAGACGACAAAGTTGGTTTACAATACGCCACTTTGCATCTACACTGGTGTATTGTTAAACATGACCGAACATTTTGCCAATGAATGAGAAACTTGGAACTGTCAGCCCACATGTTCACATGCTGTTCTTTAAAATTGATTTGTTTTGTAAAAGGTGAAATTCGACCGACAAATCTACTCTGTTTAGAAGAGCATTGATATGGAAACCTACTTGACTTGAAAATATCTTATGAATCATTGGGATATCAAATATTAGTGAAGCATAAATCAACAAACACGTAAATGCGTATTTCCTATGTAGTGAACATATATATTTTGACAGTTGGAAATGCTACAGTTACGTAGACTAAAGGTTACGTGGGTTTTGGACTCACCTAATAACTGAGTTAGGCAATCGCACCAATGAGTTGTGATTTTACAACCACCAGTGTGACAAAGTAAACTGAGTAAAAATACACTGAATGACAACCATAGACCTAAAACAATTTTGTGTGCAAGTAATAATGATTCTGAACAGTACGTGAGATTTACATTTTGTCTGGTTCCATAAGCTTGCACTTTTCTTATCCTGACATTAAACTACTTAATATCATGAATAGTCATATAGATCTTGATTACCCACCTGATTTATTAATGGGTGGACGCCTGTTAGCAGATCCGTAACTGACTTGAGTATGTGAATCCATGGGAGTTGCGACAAAAGTGGCATCATTTCCATAGTGTCTATTCAGTTGAGGTCCTCTATAAAAGAAGTAAAATCTTTTAGTAGCTTACTCATCTTGAGTAATAAATATAACAGTCATTTGATACAAACGATCTACATACTAAAATGTCACTTTACTTAAGCTAAATATTGACTCATGTAACTCGTCTAATAAGTATGGGCACTCAGTTTCAAACCACACCATTTGAGGATAACTGATACTACGTGGCTGTTAAAACTAACGTATACAATAAGGGGCTTTCACCTAGGACCTACTGGTAGAACATCGATTATCTAAACTAATACACCCAAATGCACTGGTACGCCCGAGGGTGAAGAGAGTACACTCTCCCTCTCGAAATGCTCTCACGTGGCCACGCGTATACAGCCACTGTCAGGGAAATCCTACTCACTGCCTTATCGCAGCGGGGGTGTTGTTTACATAATCGAGAGGACGAAAAGCAAATGTCCGGCGCTTTAACTGAGTTATTGGAAACGGAGAGTCCACCTAAAGGAATTGGAAAACCCTGATTCCGAACCAATGGTGCACATAGGCTCCAGGATCCTGAAGGAACATATGGCGTATGAACTAATTATTGGTCACCAGCTACCATGGAACTGCATCTCCCGACGTTGCTTTATGGCCATGTGGATCAGACATTCAGTTTGAATGGTGTACGTGGTTTCAGAAAAACGGCTTCAGTATTCGTATTCGGTGGTAACATACAATTTTCAACCAGGCAGTGACTCGAGAACGTTTAGATAGAGCTGAATTTCCACCATAGGCGAGCTGCTGTATAATTCGAAAAATAAGTATACACAGAGTGGGAATAAAAGAGAGTGAATAAATGACGTAGTAAATAATAATAATAATAATAATAATAATAATGTGAATCATTTGATTGTTAATTGAAGCACGAAAAGTATCTTCAATAAATATCAGCATTTCATATTTGTGTGTGGGCTGTGATACTGCCCGGGTGCCCGAACCGAAGCAGGTGGTTTTCTTAGGGGGCCACACCCCGAGCCTTTGACCTAAAGGTCTGACCCACAAGGCAGTGGAACATCGTAAGGAGATGCAGTCCCATGGAAGCCGGTGACCAACGATTGGTTCATACGCCATTTGTTCCCTCAGGATACTGGAGCCCATGTGCACCATTGGTTTGGGATCCGGTTAAAGCGCCGGACATTCGCTTTTCGTCCTCACATTTTCGTAAACAAAAGTAATGCCACGAGAAGGCAGTGGCTATATACGCGTGGCCATGTGAGAGTATTTCGAGAGGGAAGGTGAGCCCACCCCGCTCTCGGCCATACCAGGGCATTTGGGGGTACCCGTTTTGCCTAATGTTTGAAATAGCATGAAATAAAAAAGACGGTGAACGAAGGAAGGAAGCAATATGAAAAACACTAACAGCTTGAAGCAGATGGGATCCTCAGAGCAACGTCAACTGATGAGATGAAACTCTGAGTAACATGGCTTAAAACCAGAATTAACAACTTAATTACAAGTGTTCTAGCTCAATGAAGTTTTTGCATAAGTGAATTAGTAGAGATAATCACATATTTGTGACATTTCATGTCAATTCAGTATAAAGGCTACAATTCACTTACAAAAACCTACCAGTAAATACAAAGTATGTTGAAAGCAAGTAACTTGTACTGAGATAATATATCAAAGAAGCAAGATAGCTCACTTGTAGGTTGAAGTAATTGGCTGACGCTGCATTTTGTGACCATTAGTTTCTCGTAATCCTGATCCTGAAGCAGAATATGCCATTTTGCTACCGGTAGGTCTTGGTCTGTCTGAACAAGCATAATCATTAGCGAAAGTAATTCGTAAGTCTTGATTTTGTTTGCAGGTTACTACTCGAATAGCATCTGTTATATTAGAATCTAGATTCGATCTAAAACTGCGACGTTCATTGTGCATGACAAGGTTTTCGAAAACGTTACTGGAGAGCTAGACGAATTTGTCAACTGGTCAAAAGTAATGAACAACAGAATACAGGAAAACTTTCAGACGACAGCAGCAGAAGTCTGTAAAAAAACATTTTCAAAAGTAAGAACACTAATAAGAACTATGAATGAGCATAAAAACAACAAGTAACCTGAAGTAATTAGAAAATCGCTACATCCAAAACAGAGAACATGAAAGTGATAGGTATCGCAATGAGCGGTCGTAAACAGAATCTCTTGGTGAAACTAGTTTTTGGACGACCTTTGAGCGACGCCAAAGTGACATTGAGAGTGTCTACCTAATTATGAACGTTATAAAGCAGTTTAAAGAATAAAGACAATAATTTACAGTTGGTGGTAAGGGTTAGGATTTAGATTTATGGTTTCCAGCACGAACTGACATTAGCTAAACTGTCAAGACGCTATTTGAACGAATGAGTGAGTGAATTTCGCGCCAAAATCCAAGACGTGTTATCCTAAATCTGATTAGTTCGTCCACAAATTATAGTCTTGCCGACGCCACCTAGCTTATTGTCGAACATACTGATGTATAAAAACATACAACTAGCAAGAGAACAATTAAAAAAAGCTTCAACGAGGGATAGGGTACTATCTCAATCACGGGTGAAAATTTCGAGTCGTATGTCAACCTTAGCTAGTTCTCCGGCCGAGATGACGCCACATCAAAGAAACTTCGAGTCCGGGATCCGAAAATTGTTTAACTCTACGCAGCAGTCGATTGGTGAAGCTAAACGCACGCACTGTCGACAAATTGATGTCGTTCGTTAGCGCCAAAAGGAAGGTGAAGAAACTATCAACACCAACGTATTAGAAAAACTGAGTCATCAGGCTCGTTTTGTGAAGGTTATTGAACTGCAAACCAGGAAACGATGCAACTGGCACTGCATTTCAGTACCGGTTACTTTAAATGGAAGTGTCATGCGCATACAGAATCCCAAGAAGTTTTGGAGATTTGAGCGCCATAAATGAAACGTCCAGAGCAACTGCGGGCCGTAAGTTGTTAGACTCGTCAGAAAGGACGTTCACTCATTGACGGTGTTCAGAAAACCGACAGGTACAATGGTCGTACCTCCACATCTTGCTTAATTAACACACGATAAATTATGACAAGTATTCTGCGGCTTCAGCGATGTTAACTGCAAGTAAATCTTGTGTTCGATTTCCTAAATGTTGTCCGGCTTTAGATTATTTAAGACGGTTCAAAAAGTAAAACAGCACACACAATTCCTGAGTTTATTCTCTCATACAAAACTCCAGAAATCCTCGACAGAATGAGGACCGTTTAGCCTATCAACTGGCACTTTATTTATTGGTTTAAGCTCCATAAGTACACCCACGAATTATAAAATGTCAACCTATCTTTATCAATCAGTCACCTACGACATCGTTGCAATTTCTACGGTACCAAAGTGAAAATTTTTCACAAGAGCCACGCTATTCACTAGACTAGATGAAATGGTAGATACCTAATAAATATTCGACCCCGCTTACCCCAAAATACTGCATATGCCGAAATCACGCCAAGAACTTCCGGTTCGAACCGATTGACGTTTGTTCAAGGTCCCATTTTGACCCCAACAAACAAACATAGCCTGCCACCATTGCACAGAAGAGGAATTAACAAACAAGCTATGAAAACTGCGTTCAGGCCGCAAGTCCCTGTTTAAAATGTGACTCGAATATCCCAGAAAAAGTACAGAAGGCAACTACCCGTGCAACTCAAGAACTCCGGGGTTTACCACACAAAGAGCGGCTTGAAAAACTGGACCTCTTTACTCTGTCCTATCGAAGATTAAGAAGAGATCTAACTTAGATCTACAGAATAATGAGAAATGATTTTAGACCGAAATTATTCTCTCCTTTTCTTCCCACTAAATCGGAACATCTCAGAGAACTTAGCAGGCGAGTAGAAAAGCCAAGAACGAACAAAATACCCGTAGCATACATGTTTTCACACCGAGTCATCAGTACTTGGAACCTGCTGCCCGAAGCAGTGGTGTCCGCATCTTCAATTGACTCTTTCAAGAAAAGACTGGACACTCAGAAGCATACTAGAAAAGGTATAACATAGGCCCTAGGCCTTCTGTCCCTACTGAAATCAAAAGTCTTCACAACTTAGTGGTGTGATAGGAGGTCAACCGACCCATATTAACCCTTGAAATTTGTAGCACACGAAGTTCACACGAATCTAACGCCTGCTGCTTTTAATCGGTTTAGTAAAAGTGTTTGTGTGCGATTATGTCAGCAGTGCCGCTTGCGCGCAAACAGCTTGTTATCCTAAGCCATCGCAATGTTGAACGCTGCTAAGAGGAGTATTGGCAAGTGTAGTCAAGACATATAGGACAGTGCTCGTTCGGTCGGAACACCAATTGATGTGAAGTCACATCAGATAAACTCAAAATTGACTTGAATGGGCCAAAGGAGGACTGACTGACTTCAAAGAGATCTGCACGAAATAAAAGCTCAATAAATGAAGTTTATCCTGCTCCCCGTGCTCCAGATGGCAGCCAGTGGGGAACGTCTAGAAAACCTAATCCCAATACTAGGTCTGTTTCTGGCAGGAAAAACAAAAATCTGACTACCCAAGTCATCGACAAGCACCCAGGATCTTACAGTGTGTAACGTAACGGTTATTATTACTCCAACGATAGATGATGAACGGCTAGAGATCGAGAATACGAAATGACATAAGGTTATCAAAGAAAAGAAAGTCCGCCCAAAAGTAGCTGAGAAATCGAAGACTGATCACAAAGACAGATCAGCTAACTTTCATAGCGACAAGGAGAGTGAAAGCTTAGAACCTAAAACTGGTTTTGAGCATGACATTGAGTTGACAAAACAGCTACTAAACCACATAATGCATCAGGATATATCCGGAGTCACCTTGCTAAAGTTTTGTAGACTAGGTAGCCAAACGGACTTGAAATAGAATCAACCTAGGCTGATAAAGGTAGTATTTAAACCTCCCAATAAAAGGGACTGAATACTACAGAATGGACATAAACTAAAGGGTTCAGGGGTTTTTGTCCGTAAATACTTGCCATTCACGAACCGGCAGTTGAAAAAGAACCACAACTTAGGTTAGATACTTTCAAAAAGGACCTTTAAACTGTAAATTTTTGAGTGGTGAGGCTTCAACAGATTGTGACGCCGAAGCCACTCTAGGTACAGCAGGAAGTTAGTTAAATGGGCTTCGAATCTGTTATATAAATGCCAGAATCTAGCTTAACAACTGATTGGAGCTAGGTGTACAGATAAACTTCATCAATACGGTTGTAATCAAAGTCACAAAAGTTTATTTGAGGCAGTCTATGGACAATATGGGACTTGATTTTCAAGGATTTATGATTAAAGAGCCAATAGTGTCCAAAAGCGTAAAGAAGGGGTAGCTTTATTTATCAGAAATATCATCCCGTTTGCCGTTATTGATAACGTGACACATGAAAGTGAGACGTGTGAATTAGTTAGTTGCCGCTTGAAATGCAAGTAACAAGAGGTGCCGATTGGTTTGGTCTACTGCATTCCAAAATGTGAGGTAAATGAGGACTCGCTATACAGTCACAAAGTGGTCGATATTTAATCCTAGAAAACTTTAATGCACTTACGGTAAACTGAAAATGTCTGAGGGCCGTCGGACAATTCCTTCGAACAGGAACTAATCGATGCTGTTATTACATGTGCCCTAGTGCAACATGTTATAAAAGCAACTAGATACGACCCGGACTCCGAATAGTCCTTGCTAGATCTCATACAGACCCACTACGAGGATGACGTTACGAACCTCGATTACATGCCACCCCTAGGTAAAAGTGGCCACGCAGTTCTAACCTTTGACTTCCATATACTGGTCAAAAACGAGCAAGCGTCAGTTCGATCCATACCTAACGTCTGGAAAGCAAATATACATGATATTATGCCCTCAGCATCCTCAGCAGATTGGACGATAGAATAAGTTCTCCATCGAAAAGTATTTGGGATGTATCTGGAAATTTATACATAAAAGTCACTGTCCGTGCATCCCTTGGATTGCACCAAGGGGTGGGGAGACTCCCCACAGTGGTTCAGCAAAATGTTTATACAGTATTCGCGCGTCCTATACTCGAACACTTCATTCAAGCGTCTAGCCCTTGTCTACAAAGAGGCAGTGGGCTTTTAGAAGATATCCAAAGAACTGCAAACAGGCTGATTTTCGGTATAGCGAAGCTCCCTTTTGATGGTCGACTGCCTAAACGAAGCCCATTTCCATTGTCATATCGAGGAAACATAGGCGACATGATCACAGTTTTCAAATTACCTGGTGGTAAATTTGAACCTGATATGTCCTCACTTTTCTCGTCTTTCAAAATAAAGAATTTATGAGAACACTCCAAAAATGTTAACAAACTCATGGCAAATTACTTATCAGCCGTGTCGACAAATGGAATTCATCACCTCATTACGTGATTGAAGTTCCATCTGTCATCTCTTTCAAAAGAAAATTGAATCAACTGAGAGACCACCATCGTCAAAATTAACACGAACCACCTAGCCTTCTGTTCTGCCCAAAATGAAACCGAATTCACTATTTGGTGAGAGAAACGGACCTCTTGACTCAAACAATCTGATCTCGGTTTTTGAACTTTCTTAGACTTTCTTCTGAAATGATCAGTCGTGAATAAAGTGAAAAGGCAAGACATATTGGTGCCAAAATCGTCATTTAGTACACGTTAAGCCAAGATTACATCACCTCACAACCTGCTTTCATAAGGCAAGTCTGTGAGACATTCCACTACTTTGGTCCCCCACTGTTGAAGTCGTTTTTATTTATCCATACCACGACTGAAACAACAGTTCGTTGCTTGGATCCCATGTTCTAAATGCTGCTTCATAAACATCAGGTATAATATGCTAAATATGACTCTATTCATGCAATGAAATAACTTGCTAATGACCAATAGAACTACGAAGACTTTAGCAGTGAGAGCTTTACAGTCACTCGTAGTTCTAAGGTTTTCGCCTTTTATAATCCATTACTAAAGATAACACCACTTCAATTACCGCTTAATCAAATGAATCGTCACATTTATATGGATCACACACTTATCAGAATCAACTTCTAATGACCACCTATTCATCCATTTAAATAGTGAACTTAGGCCGTCCTGTAACACTACCCTACATGACATACAGTACATGGGTCACTAAACCTTGACTTTATCGGCAGAGAGTAGAATAGATATGTTTCATGCAGTTCCTAAACCATCTTAAAGTAAAAAACGATGAGGACAGAGGATTGCTTCTTGAAGAACTCCACTTTTACAAATCCTCATATTTATAGGGCCTATGGAGATAGTTAACACGAACTTATTTTGCAATTAGTTCTTGATATTATTCTCAATTTTCATTCTTTCGTATAATTTGAACGACAGCTATTATTTACAGTAAAATAGTTCCTCACCTTGATCTGCCGTTCTTGTCTTGTGCTCTATTGATATGATGGATTGAATATCGCACACAAATACACTGTTGCACACACATTCTCCTCATTCTCAAACATTAGCTGTCGTGATAGTAAAGCTCCCATATATTTGTTATCCACGTTCAAAGAGCATATTTATATTCTCATAACGTAATTACTCCGGATACACATTTATGATTATATCAATCATATGTAGCGTGGTGTCGAGTTGAGCTTGACTATGAACACCGCTACAAGACTACGTGCCAATAGACCAATAAGATCCCCGTAGGCCAATATCAGAAGATAGATGATGGCTGTAGTCAAGATGTATTTGTTGGCGATCTCGTGGTATCAAAAGAATACCGAGATCGTGCCAAAGGAGTACAAGCGTGGTTACTGAGCGTAACCGAATTCGTACAAGTTCAAAGTCAACGGGAGAGTAAGTAAGTATAATGGCTGTCATTAGCACAGTTAAACAAACGAGCACAGTAAAACAGTCACTGGTACAATTGGTTATAATAATAATTGTTTTTATTGAACCGATCGCGTTCTGTTGACAAAAGTAGGTCACTACAGGTCATAATTCAATTTGTGGTTGCTGACAATCAACGTGTTTCAGTATGAGCAAACAAACTCAATAAAAATGCGAACTTTTATCTCTGAATTTTGACTTACAATTATTTTTTTGTCATATTCTGCCCTCTTTATGATAATGTATTCTAAATATTACTTAAGATTCATAACTATCCAACTATTATTAATATCACTATCAACTGTAAATTGTAAGGAGAGTTTACCGTAAGCTTGTAGTGGCATCGGTTCCTAATTATGCGATTTCTAAAGCCGAGCATATAATTACTGAAAAGACCTATTTTCAACATGTGATGCTTGGAGAAGATCAAGACTGGTGAACGCGGGACTATTCATTCATTTAATCGGATGGCATGGCTCAGACTTGCAGATGTGGTCATTATGTGTAACCTATTACCATTCTTATTGAATATATTATTCTATCCGCAGCACAAATTCGTTCTTCGAAAACACTAAGTACCATATTGTTAATTGTTACGATACAATGAATCAGTGACAAACAAGATCACAATTCTACAAGCTAATA